ATTTGAAAATTAAACAACACTCATTCCAAATGCACATTTTGAAACTCTAGTTGTGTGTTGCTTTGTTCATATTTTGTTTCAGACATAGAAGTACATAAAAAGTAGATGATTTAAAATAACTAGTGTTACTTTCTGTCCTGAGTATTTGACTTAAGAGAAATATGTAATAAATACAAAATGATCTTAATAATAAATGCAGAAAATACCCCTTAGAAGGTATTTTTGTTTCCAACTTTGAATATTAATGTCTAGGAATGAGGCCAATGCATATCCTAGCACTTTTTGATTATGCTGCTAATGATCTTTCAATTACTCAATACTCTCCTAGAAAAGGATACTAAAAAGCCAAGGCAAGAATCATTTCCTTAACTGAGGTTAAAAGTTTAAATTTGAATTTCCATTCTATTTGTTTATACTTTATGGATAACTTTTGTAATTTTGCTGAAAATAATTGAGTGTTTGAAACCATTCATTTCCAGGGTTTAACACGCATCAATCATGTAGTCAATATTCTGATAAGCAATTTATTTTTCTATTTCTATTGTTTTAGTGAGTCAACCAGATTTGAACTCAGGGTCTGACATTTATTAGACAGGCATTGTAACACTGGACCATTCCCCCACTCTCTTTTTTCTTTCTTTTATTTTTCCTATAAGGATTCAGGTATTTTTTCCTGTGGAGCTGGCTTTAGTCTGTGATATTCTCTGTCTGTCTGTCTCTGTCTCTGTCTCTGTCTCTGTCTTTCTCTCTCTCTCTCCTCCCCCTCTCTCCCTGTCTTTCTGACTCTGTGCACTATTCCTGAGCTTTTGTGCTCAAGGCTAGTGCTCTACAAGTGGAGCTGCACTTCTGGCTTTTTTTGGTTAATTGGAGATAAAAGACTCATGTTCTTTTCTGCTCAAGCTGTCTTCAAACCATGATCTTCATATCTCAGCCTCCTGAATAGCTTGGATTATAGGCATGAGCTATCAATGTCTAGCTTATTCTGTAATTCTACCACGTAGCTGGGATTTATGGGCTTACATTATCATGCTTGGCTTATTAATTGAGAAAGGTTGGTAACTTTGATTCCAAATCTCTCCCAATCTCTTCCCAATCTGCCTCCCAAGTAGCTGATATTATAGCTATGAGCCCCAGTGCCTCAGTATGACTTTTAATAAACTACTAATCGTGCTTCTTTTCTTTTGGGACTAACTATAAATATCAGTTTAAGAAGGAACAGAGTATATCTCTGGTCTGTGTGGCTACATCATATCTTGATGAACAGCACCAAGGTGAGAGTTGATCTATGCGTTCAAGAGAGATCACAGAACAATACGGGGAAGCCACAAAGAGAAAGGAGATGGGCCAGCATTTGTCTGGTATAACAACGCTTATAGTAAGACTTAATCAGGTCCCAAGAGAGCAACATTACTTCCTTCTGATGGCGGTGGTCCAAGTGGCCCCGCAATTGGGTGCTACCTCCTAAAGGACTATTTTTCTCTGACATCAACATGAAGAACCAAACCTCCCCTGAATGAATTTTTACCCTTATTTTTGCCATTCTACAAGGCAGTTTATGAATACAATGCATCTTGATCAGTGTCACCCCTTTCTTTCATTGTTCTCACTCATCCCTCTTATCCCACCCCTTTCCTCACTTTTCTTACTTTTTGTAGGATATAGATGGAATTCTTGATTGCATTCATTAATCTTTATTCTCTTCACTTGTATTCTCTTCTTCTTCTCTTCCCCCCACCCCATACCTTTCAGGTACCCATTTCCTGGTGTTTATTTCACCAGTGAATTCTTGAGGGAAGAAAACATCCTAAGTTAAGAATTCAGATCCTAAGCACTGAGAGAGGATGAAGAACAGTATGGTTTAAATTTAGAAGCCCAATAAAATTAAAGCAAGTGGGGAAAAAGCAGGAAATTTATAGCATTTGTAATAATGAGGAAGTAATGCACTCTGTTGGAACTTGTGATGTTCGTGTTGGATGACTGTCAGAAATATCATGGAAGGAATTTCTGAAGTAGAAGGTAGTTGAACCTACTGATCTTGAATTCTTGTGAGCCCATCAATCTGGGGCTTTCCCTCCAAAGGAAATTTGGTCATGTCATACTATCTCACAAAGGGTGATGGAGATGGGCAGGAAAGTTTATCCTCACTGAAGTGATCATATATAGAGCACTGACAATATCAATGGTATTTATTTATTTATTTATGTCGGTCTTGGGGCTTGAACTCTGGGCTTGGGCACTGTCCCTGTGCTCTTAAGCTCAAGGCGAGCGCTCTACAGCTTGAGCCAATGCGCCACTTCCAATATCAACGTGTTTTTTTTTTTTTTTTGGTCCGGTTGTGGGGCCTGAACTCTGGGCCTGGGCGCTGTCCCTCAGCTCTTCAGCTCAAGGCTAGCGCTCTACCACTTGAGCCACAGTGCCACTTCCGGCTTTTTTTCTTTTTGCTTATGTGGTGCTGGGGAATCAAACCCAGAGCCTCATGCATGCAAGGCAAGCGCTCTACAGCTGAGCCACCTTCCCAGCCCCAAATATCAACATTTTTAAGAATGTAAAAAACTATGCTGGTGTCGTGGTAAAGCACCTGCCTAACAAGTTGAAGCTGTGAAGTAAAATTCTAGTACGGCAACAGAAATAGCTAATTATGGCAAAATTGTTTTCATCAGTAATACACAAAAAGATGATAGTGGATTAAACAGATGACTGTGAAGGGAGTGAGGAAAAATATTTTATGAGAACATTGTTGTGAACTGAATTCATTAGATTAAGTATATGGACAGTCCTCTGACATATCAGTGACCCTGATACAGTATTTTCTCTATTAGCAATGTACAAGTGAGACTATTACAGTCTCTTGATGGCCTTATGTTTATGTAGAAGAACCCTCCTAGCATAATTCAGGATCCCCTTTGGGTATAGAGCTGCAGGGCATTGTCAAATTGGAGTCTTCAAATTACCATGGGCTTGATGCTATTTAAATGTTATTTCATAAAATGAACTCTGCTCTGATTTTCTGTTTGTTAACCCACATTCTGATTGTAATTTGACTTTCCATCTAGTTCATGCTAAAGGGAGATAGTGCAATAGTTATGCTGATACAAACATTGTGATCCATATGGCAGTTGTGGTTCTCATCGTGAACTAATGTAGTTAACTGAATTGCATTCAAGTTTGTACATTAATGTTGCTCTACTGCTGAAAGATGACTCTACTCAGAGTACCTAAATGAAAGAAGGTCTCCTTTCTAAGTTTTCAAAGCTGAGAGCCAGACTAAGGTGGTGGATTGAGTTGAGCTTTTCTTATTGGAAGTAGTTCAGCTTATATCGGAGTTGCAGAAGTCAGAAATGGCCAGGAAGACATGAGAAACTGTACTTAAGAGTAAAATTCGGTAGAAAGGAGGCAGGTGAAGCTGTAGAAAATGGCTGACAGTTTTCTGTCATTTTGAGTTGAGCATGTTTTGTTCATTTAACGTAAGTTGAAATGAAAGAAAAAACATTTATCCTTCATTTGGTAAAACATCTTCCTTTTATGATTAATTTTCAATGACTTGATTTCCTTGTTATTTCTTTGAAATTCAAGCTGCTTCTCCCTCCCCGCCCCCGCCATAATTTCCCTGGTTTTGTTGTATTTAATTAAGAAAATATTTTGAGGTTTCTTCATACTAACCAGTGATCAGGACTTTGATTCACTGTTTATATTTAAAAATCTAGTAATTGTTTTATTCAATTATGAGTCTTATGCAATAAAACTTTGAATTTCTCCAGTACATATTAACCAGCTTTATTATCCAAATTGCTAGGGATCAAATGTGTTTCAGATTTTGGAATAGTTGCAGTGACTGTTCTTGTTAAGTATCTTTAGTCCAAAATCCAAGTGTTTCAAAATATGAAACATTCTGAGTGTTATATTAGTGTTGAAGATGTTCTGGATTTTGGGATACTTTAGATTTGGGTTGTTGGATTAAGGATTTTACATTGAGTCTGTAGAGGGCGGCAAGGCGCAAGTGGTAGAGTGTCTGCCTTGCAAGGTCAAGGCCTTGAGTTCAATCCCCAAAGAAATTCTTGAATGAAAGTGTGTAATCATAATGGTTGAGAATTGATTGCCCTAGAAGAGGCTCTAAGTACTGTACTCTCTTAACAGATTCTGGAAAAACCCTTTTCATGAAATATATTTTCTTACTTGGACTACATCTCCATTTGCTCTTATCAAATTTCTGTGACTTAAATGCATGTGTGTAGTGTGATTGTATGTAAAATGTTAGATTCTTTTTTGCACTGTGAACTTTTTTTTCCTTCTTGACCTTTTTGTTGCCATTATTAAGGAGTTGTACAAAGAATGTTAGGATTTAAAATATGTTTTAACTGCATTAAGGTAACATGTTTTTCTGTACTTAAGAAATTAATGGCATCATATTTTGTAGTTTACATTCCCAATGTTTTACTGATATTTAGGGCAAACTGGTAGCATTAGCTTTTTTTACCCTCTGATTCACTAATGACAATATTATTAAATATAAAGGATTGTATCTTGTTTATTTTGTTTTTAGAATTATTGAAGTATTGTTTGCTGTGTTTTCTTACAACTTCCCAAACTTCTTTTTTTGGTCAGTCATGGGGCTTGAACTCTGGGCCTAAGCAGTCCCTCAACTCTTCAGCTCAAAGTTAGTGCTCTACCACTTGAGCTATCATGCCACTTCTGGTTTTCTGAGTGGTTTATTGGAGATAAGAGTCCCATGGACTTTCCTGCCTAGGCTGGCTTTGAACTGTGATCATCAGATCTCAACCTGAGTAGCTAGGATTACAGGCGTGAGCCACCGGCACCCGACTATTGACGTCTGCATTCTATAACTTTACCTCATTTCACAGGCAGGCAGAGTGTTTCATATTAGCAAAGTAAAGGGACCGACAAAATCAAGTGTGTATTCTAATTCACTTCCTTGCTTTGGTGATCCAGATAAGTATTTCTTGGCTTTTTTAAAATGATTGACTCTCTTTTCAATTTCACAGGAAAAGCATATAAGTAATGAAGAAGAACACTTACGGAGAATGGAAGAGGCCAGATTGCAACTCAAAGATCAACTTCTTTGTCTGGAGACTGAACAGGAATCCATTCTTGGCGTGATAGGAAAGGAAATTGATGCAGCCTGTAAAACTTTCTCTAAGGATTCAATGGAGAAATTGAAAGTAATTATGAGTTCTCATTGTACCTTAAATTTACAGTTAGTTTCCTAATCTATAATTATAATGGGATTATAATATATGATTACCTAGTGGTCACTTTTTATTTTAGAAAGTTTTATGAAGTGAAATAACTTCTTAAATTTTAAGGAATGAAGCATAGTATTCCTTGCATAGTAATGGTGTGAGATAATTCCATTGAATTACCTCTGTGTATATCACTGTATAAAAGAAAATGCTTTATAAAAGTCAGCACTTCTGAGTAAGGAAAATATTTTGAGTCAAGAGGCTTGGGATTTGTCATTATCATAGACAGTTTTGGTGCTGGTCGTATAGTACCTGCTACCATCTATTGGGTTCTGTGTGAGGTCCTAAGTAAGTATTGTTCAGACAGTCACTAAGCCTGAAAACTACCCAATCTATAAAGTATTTTAATCAAATTCACTGTAGAGAAAACCAGACCATCTATAGGAGTTAAGTAATGTGACACTGGATATCTACATAGTTAAATGTTAAACTAAGACTTTAAACTTTGAGGTTCTAATTCTGGAAGCTAAGTAAGTAACCACTTAGAGCGTATATTAAGCTTACTTTTTCCTTTGCTTAAAATCTAATGTTCCTCATTGACTTATATGGCTCTAGGATAGATAGAGAACATTGTATTACTTTGATTTCCTGTACCCATAGCATAATGTGGTCTAGCGTCACTTAGAGTGATATTCTTTATTTCATGATCCCACAGCACTCCAAAGTATGGTATTATGTCTGAAAGATTTTCCTCTTCATGTGTTCTTTTTATTTTGTAATCCTTTTTCTCTTTCCACTTCTAAAATGATCTTTCCTTCCACAGTTCCCTCTTCCTACCACTGCTTTTCTTTTATATGTTTCTTTTTCAAAATAGTGTTTAAAAGAAAACAAAACTACTAAAAAGGTTAGGGTTCAGTTTCTTTTTAAATTTTATTTTATTGTAAAGGTGATATACAGAGGTATTATAGCTATATAAGTAAAGTAATGAGTACAGTTCTCAGCCTTAATAGAAATATTTCAGTTGGGAGATTTTGATAGAGTTAATAGAAATTTTATAATTTGTATTGCCACATTACTTCTTTATAAAAATGTAAGATGTCAGTTTGTGGAGATGGAAGGCTAATATGAGCAGTAATTTGTCTTCAGAGGAAGACTGGCTCAGGGCTGATTCAGTGTTTTGATATTGGCTTAGTTCTTTTATTCCTCACAGTGCTTTTAAAATTTAAATCTTTCTGATTTGCTTATGTTTAACTTCTAATTCTGACTTAGTTATGTTTAAGTCCTAATTTTACCTAAAAGGAATATATTTTAATAAGTAAAAGTTTGCTCTATATTTAAATATTTAAGTATGGATAGGTAGTTTTTTTTTATCATGTAGGAATATAAAAATGGAAATGTTTGAATCATGTTATATATATCCACCTTGCAAGCAAAAATTTTCTTTGTGGGGGCACAAATTCTCTTTCCATTTTATTCCAAAACATCATCCTACTCTTTTTTTAAAGCATGGAGTGTTTGTGGTTAATTGGTATTTACATTTCTTCCTTTAGAGAGAGATAAATTCAGTGGAAGTCTTTGGTAGAAAGTAAATCTAGAAGAGTCTACATATTTTTCTTTGTAGATCTTTCTACATTAGTAACATCTGTTATTTTGTTGTTACATAATTGGAAAAAAATGGATACCTATGAATTTAGCATTTGCTGTTACCTCTAAGAAAAAGACCCAGAAATTCGTTAAATATGAAATGATTATTTTTGTTCTTCTGTGGAAGAACAGCAGAAGAATCATTGACTATGCTTCTAAAAGCAGAGAATTTGAAGTTATCTTTTGTCACTTCTTGATTTTAAAAATAATATTACTGGTGAACTCTTCAGCCAATTGTGATAAAGAGTAGCTATACTGTGGAATAGATTCAATAATAGATTTGTAAAAAATTATTCGAGAAAAATTCTGGGGAATGTTGAAATTATTTTTATTTTTTCTGGTCACTCTACTTACTTTGTTTTAATAAATTCTTACAATGTTTTTTTTTTAATTTAATTTTATTTTATTTGAGAACATACTGTACAGAGGGGTTACAATTACATGGGCAGGATAATGCATACATTTCTTACCAAGCATTGCAGCCTCCTCCTTTGTTTACCCTTCACCTCCCTTCCCAGCCTCCCCCCTCCCTCCCACCCAAACATACCCCCCCAACACCCACCCCGCCACCGACATTGTAAAGCTGGTTTTGACATGACATTTTGTACTTCTCATTGTTGCAACAGGTCCACCTGAATCCTTAAACGACTTGTTTGTCCCCATCTCCTCCACATGTTATACTGATATCAAATATAGTGAAAGCGGGGGTTACACTGTGGGGGAGGGACATACAAAGCAACAAAGAAATAATCTTATAAATGCGTTAGAAACACATGCATGAAAGAAACAAAAACATTAAAATACATATTTGAGGTTTCGTTTTCCTAACATCACATTCTCTGACTTTTTCCGCTTGACTCATACCTATACTAGATATTGCAAATAAGGGAAACCATGGGACCTATGTTTCTTTGGGCCTGGCTTACTTCACTTAATATAATTTTTTCCAAGCCTTTCCATTTCCTAACAAATGGGGAAATGTCATTCTTTCTGATGGAGGCATAGAATTCCATTGTGTATATATACCACACCTTCTTGATCCATTCATCTACTGAGGGGCATCTGGGTTGGTTCCATGTCTTAGCTATGGTAAATAATGCTGCAATAAACATAGTTGTGCTGGTAGCTTTAGTGTGGCCTTGTTTGTGATCATTTGGGTAAATGCCCAAAAGTGGGATTGCTGGGTCATTGGGGAGCTCTATGTGGAGTCTTTTGAGGAACCTCCATACTGCTTTCCAAAGTGGTTGAACAAGTTTACATTCCCACCAACAATGAAGTAAGGTTCCTTTCTGTCCACATCCCCTCCAGCATCTGTTGTTGTTAGAGTTCTTGATTTTTGCTGTTCTAACTGGAGTGAGGTGATATCTCAATGTTGTTTTGATTTGCATTTCTTTTATGGCTAGGGATGTTGAACATTTCTTCATGTGTCTATTGGCCATCCTTCTTTCTTCTTCAGAGAAGTTTCTCTTTAAGTCTTTCGCCCATTTACTTATTGGGCAGTTGTTTCTTTGAGGATTTGTTGTTGGGTGGTTTAATTTTTTGAGTTCCAAGTATATTTTAGATATGAGACCCTTGTCTGTTGTATGGCTAGTAAATATCTTCTCCCAGTCCGTGGGCTTTCTATTGATCTTGCTAGCTATGTCATTTGCCCTGCAGAAGCTCTGCAACCTTATACAATCCCATTTGTCCAGCCTTTCTTTGATTTGTTGTGTTTCCGGGTCTCTATTCAGAAAATTTCGGCCTGAGCCAAGGAGACCCAGGGTTTCTCCTATTCCATCCTGTAATGTTTTCAGAGTGTCTGCTTTGACTTCAAGGTCTTTGATCCATTTGGAGTTGATTCTGGTGCAGGGTGATATATAAGGATCTAGCTTTAGTTTTCTACATGTAGTTAACCAGTTTTGCCAGCACCATTTACTGAAGAGGCTGTCTGTCTTCCATTCTATTGTTTTAGCTCCCTTATCGAAGATTAGATGGCTATAGGTCTGTAGGTTCATTTCTGGGTTTTCAATTCTATTCCATTGGTCCTGAGGTCTGTTCTTATGCCAATACCAAGCTGTTTTGATTACTATGGCTTTATAGTAGAGTTTGAAATTTGGTATTGATATTCCTCCAGCAGTGTTCTTTCCGTTGAGGAGCGTTTTTGCTATTCGGGGTCTTTTATTTTTCCATATGAATTTTTGGATTGCCTCTTCTATTTCCTTGAAGAATGAGGTTGGAATTTTGATAGGTATTGCGTTGAATTTGTAGATAGCCTTGGGAAGTATTGCCATTTTCAGGATGTTAATCTTTCCAATCCAGGAGCATGGGAGGTTTTGCCATTTTTTTAGTTCTGTGTTGATTTCCTTTTTCAAGATTTTAAAGTTTTCATCATAGAGGTCCTTCACTTCTTTAGTTAAGTTAATTCCTAGGTATTTTATTTTTTGTGGGGCTATTACAAATGGAGTTGCTTTCCTAATTTCAGCCACACTTTTCTCATTGTTGGCATACAGAAAAGCCATTGATTTTTGGGGGTTAATTTTATAACCTGCTACTTTGCCAAAGTTTTGAATCAGCTTGAGTAATTTGGGAGTGGAGTCTATGGGATTCTTTAAATACAAGATCATGTCATCTGCAAAGAGGGAGAGTTTTATTTCTTCTTTCCCTATTTGGATCCCCTTTATGTCTGCATCTTGTCTTATTGCTGTAGCTAGGCATTCTAATACTAGATTGAAGAGGAGTGGAGAGAGTGGGCATCCTTGTCTTGTTCCTGAGTTAAGAGGAAATGGCTTTAGTTTTTCACCATTGAGTATAATGCTGGCTGTAGGTTTGTCATATACAGACTTTATTGTATTGAGGAATGTTCCATGGATTCCTAATTTTTCCAAAACCTTCATCATAAAGGGGTGTTGGATCTTGTCGAATGCTTTTTCTGCGTCTATTGAGATAACCATGTGGTTCTTATTCTTGCTCCTGTTGATGTGATGAATAATATTAATTGATTTGCGTATATTGAACCAGCTTTGCATCCCTGAAATGAATCCTGTTTGATCGTGGTGTATGATTTTTTGGATGAATTGTTGAAGTCGGTTGGCCAAAATTTTGTTGAGAAGTTTTGCATCAATGTTCATCAAAGAAATGGGTCTATAGTTCTCTTTCTTTGATGAGTCCCTGCCTGGTTTTGGGATGAGGGTTATGATGGCTTCATAGAATGTGTTCGGTAGTGAGCTTTCTCTTTCAATTTCATTGAAGAGTTGGAGGAGAATTGGTGTGAGCTCTGCTTTGAAGGCCTTGTAAAATTCCGCTGTGAAACCATCTGGTCCTGGACTTTTCTTAGCTGGGAGGTCTCTTATTGCTGT